TAATAAGCATTACCTGATGAGTATAAAACAAAAATTCAGAGAGATACTTACGGTGGCCCTGAAAAAATTGTGGATAAGAATTTTTCAAAGTAAATTGTCTCAGGATTCTTCAGCGTTTCTGTTCAAACTCTATGGTATCCCTGATAACAATTTTCACTATTCATAAGGAAACAGAGGCTGAGAAAAATTTACTGACTTGCCTGAAATCACACAGCTAGTAACTTAGGGAGGTCAAATTCAAACTCGGGTCTGTCTGACTCCAAAGCTGATGATTTTTCAATACTACATTTCATTGACTTTCTGACTTTAGTTTGAGCTTGTCTTTGGCTGCTATTCTGGATGCTAACCGAGATCTAACTAGTCCTATGTGTTGGCAAATGAATTATTGACCTTCCTTTGAGAAAGACAGACTCAGTTGCAGAGCAGAGCTACCTCTAAGTCTCAAGTCACTTCATACTGGGTAGATGTTCAAGGTTACTCATAATGTACATTGCAAAGGTTGCAGGATGGACTTTGCCCCAGTGGCAACCCAAAGGAATTCAACTTCCTTTCCAGCCTATAAAGAAAGTTCCAAATATTTCATTTTCAGACAGCTTGTGAGACTTGATTCCCTTTGTGGTCTGACTTGTGAGGTCATCCCCTAGTAATCAACTCTGCCTTTTGATTTACATTTCTTCTCTAGGAGAAAGGTAAAGGTCTTACATTTCCCCTGCTAAACTATAGAAAGCTAAATGGATGATGTTTATTAAAGAAAAGGAACACTATCACAAAACCTTATTTCTTTGTTAGAGAACTATCTAAGCTTTGACAGTCAACCAAATCCACATCCTTGTCACATAGAGAGCTCAAATATATTTATGCCTGAGTTTTTAATTTGTCAAATGGACATGAAATTACTTATTTATAGTGTTTTACTTATTCATCAAATATTCACTGTTCATTCCTAAGCTCTTAGAGTGACACTATATGGGTTTGATGGGGCTCCCATAAAAAAGTACCACAAACTTGGTGACTTAGAATAACAGAAATTCATTCTTTCATAACTTTGGAGGCCAGAGGTCCAAAATCAAGACATTGACAGGGCCACGCTCCCAGAGAAGGTACCAGGGGAGGACTCCTCTTTTTTTCTTGGCTTGTGATAGTTTGTCAGCAATCTTTGTCATTCCTTGGCTTGTAAATCTTCAGGTGGCCTTCTCTTGTGCATATCTACCTTTTTGTCCAAATTTTTTTTGTATAAATTCACTAGTGATAATGGATTAGGGCTTACTTTCCTAATGACCTCATTTTAACTTGATTACATTTATATAGACTGTTTCCAAATAAAGTAGCATTCTGAAGAAATGTGGGTTAGGACTTAAACATTTTTTTTTTAAGGGACACACAATTCAATCTAGAATTGATGCCAAGTTGAATAAAACAAAGTCCTAATGTCAAAGTGATTCTTATATAGTAGGGGATATTGGACAGAATAGGTTTTTTAAAATTGTTCTTTTTAGATATATATGACAGTAGATGTATTTTGACATATCATATATACATAAAGTATAACTGCCCATTCTTTTTTAAAAATATTTTTTAGTTGTAGTTGGACACAATACATTTATTCCATTCATTCATTTTTTACGTGGTGCTGAGGATCCAACCCAGGGCCCTGCATGTGCTAGGTAAGTGCCCTACCACTGAGCCACAACCCCAGTCCTAACTGCCCATTCTTGTGGTTGTTCATGATGTGTAATTTCACCGGCCATGTATTCACATGTGAACATAGGAAAGTTATGTCCAATTAATTCTACTGTCTTTCCTATTCCTGTCCCTGCTCCCTTCGATTCAGTCCCCTTTGTCTAATCCAGTGAACATCTACTCCCCCTTATCGTGAGTAAGTATCTGCATATCTGAAAAAAACATTTAGATTTGGGTTTTTAAGAATTGGCTTATTTCACTGAGCATGATAGTCTCCAGTTCCATCCATTTACCTACAAATGTCATAATTTCATTCTTCTTTATGGCTGAGTAATATATTCCATTTTGTATATGCACCACATTTTCTTTATCCATTCATTTGTTGTAGGGGATCTAGGTTGGTTCCATAGTTTAGCTTTTGTGAATTGTGCTGCTCTAAACATTGATGTGGCTATGTCACTATAGTATGCTGATTTTAAGTCCTTTGGGTATAAACTGAGGAGTGGGATAACTGAGTCAAAGAGTACTTCTTTAATAAAGCAGCAGACAAGGGTTAAGTGAAGGACCATGATGATTTGGAAGAAAGCTTGCTTTGAATTGGGAGAGTACAGTTGTGTAATAATATTCAGCATAAATTAGGAAAAATTTTTTTCAGCACTGGGGGTTGAACCCAGGGCCTCCTGCATGTTAGGCAAGAACTCTGTCACTGAGCCACATCCCAGCCCTAGGGAATGTTTTCAAAGAGATTGCAATAAATGACTTTGTGTGACCAAAATGTATGGGGGAATTTTCCTCATATACCAAGAAATTCTCCATGCAACACCAGCTGTGTGTCCTATAATAGAATTCAACTCAGACACCATATATCTTGAGAGAGCATCAGGTCACACGGGTTAAGAGCTCAGTCCCACAAGGGTGGCTCCCACTTTAGATGCCAATCACAGGGTATTATCTGTATTTCTAATGACTGACTGTAAATTGGGGTTCTTCCTACCCCTTCTTTGGTTTCGATTAATTTGTCAGGATGGCGCATTTAACTCAGGGAAGCACTTACTAGTTGATTATATTCATAAAAGATATAGATGAAGAGCTGTATAAGGCAAGGTGTGGGGGAAGGGGTACAAAGTTTCCATATCTTCCTTAGAAGTGCCACCCTTTTGACCCCTCCAGGTATTCAGCAACCAGAAGCTCACCAAACCCTGTCCTTTGGGGTTTTATGAAGGCTTCATTGTGTAGGCATTGTTAATCCACTGGATCTTCAGCCCTTCTCCCTTCTCAGAGGCTGGAGGATGGGGCTGAAAGTCCTGGCTCTCTAATCCTGCCTTAGTGTTTCCTGTGATCAGCACCCATACTGAAGCTCTCTAGGGTCTCTCAGACACCAGTCATCTCATTAACATACAAAACGCGCTCGTCATTTCAGTCACTCCAATAATTTTATGAGCTAAGGGTCGCGAACCAAGGTCAAAGGGCAAGTATGTTCCTTATTATATCACAATATCACTTGTCTGTGGTCTCTACTGTGGTATCCCTAATGACTATATCAGTGGCTAACACAGAGTAGATACTCAATAAATGATCAGTGAATGAATACACTAATGACCTAATGAATAATTTAAAGTAGCAGCTTGACTACGATTTTTTTTTCACTTCTTTTTCCTGAGAAGGATCAGGAAGACACAGTAACCTTGAGGCCCAGCAATTTCTTCTAGTGCTGAGTGAATTTTCTTGCAGTGTCACAATTTAAGAGATTGAAATTAAAGCTGTGAAGTAATTAAGGTTCCAAACAATGTGGTAGGCCCTTCCATATTGGCCAGGCAGGGTCCTGTCAGCTAAGAAGACAAATACAATTTGGCTGCCAGGACTCATTTGTGTAATTCGATTCCTTTTTTTCCTCTTGGTCCTTCTTCATAAGTTAAAAGCCTTCATTGCTGCACACCCTGCAATTTCCACAGCATGACAGTCAGGAGGAATTGCTGGGCCAGAGAGTTTTGCGGTAGCACACAAATGGGGGGAGTTGCATCACCACCACAGTGTCTGTTCTTTCATTTCACTATCAGACAATGGCACAATTACAAGCAATTACTTATTAGATGTTTGAAAACTATTGTACAAAGCCAGCACCATTTGCCAAAAGTAATTTAATGAAATTGGGCATAATTGTGCCCTGAACTGAATTTTTCTGAGTTTCCCAAAGTTAAATGACTCCACAGAAATTATTTAGCAAATGAATGAATAATAACACATAGACAAAAATCTCTGTTCAAGTTGGCGGAAATGTGCAGTGTAGAGATTGAAGGCCACTGATCTTTAATGGTCTAGAGTGAGGTTTTTGACAGATGCATGGGAAGTAAGCTAACATTTGCTTGATAGAATGCACGACACCATTTTAAAGAAAAATAAGGTGTTTCAAGGCTCTGCAACACATTTGATATTTTGACTGAGGGTTGAAAACAGCTGTAAATTTGAAATGTTGATTAATGGCTATCTTTGGTTACTTATTAAATATAATAGTAATAAAGCAAATTTTCACCAATTTGGATGAGGAGAAACTCTTCCAAATGTTTGAAAAATTCTATAAAATAGTTTTAAAGAAATGGAGTTTCTTTACTTTCTTATACACATGGTAGGTATATAGACCAAATAATTATTGCCTCACCCAGTTCCATGATGGAATTTAAACAGTCTTCCTCACTTTTGTTTGTTGATATGCTATTGGTTTAGCAATCCAGCCCTGTGTTTTATTTTCCTTTTTATAAAATGCCTTTTTCAATAAATGCTTGTATGGTTTAAAAAAATAAGCAATACAGAATCACAAAGAGGGAAGTCATTTCAAAGTCCTTCAGCAAGAAACAACCATCACTATCATTAAAAATATTATTCTATATTTCTCTCTGAAAATATACCAATGGTTGAATGACTATGTAGATGTATAAGGTAGTTTGATAAAATGGGTATGTTTTAAATGTAAAAAGAATACATCAAAATTAACTCAAGCCTAGCATGTAGTTTACACCTGTAATCCCAACTGCTCAGGAGGCTAAGGTAGGAGGATCTAAAGTTCAAAGCCAGCCTCAGCAATTAGCAAATCCCTAAGCAATTTAGGGAGACCCCATAACGAGCAGCATTATTAATAATTACTGTACTTGGAAGCAGATTTCTTTAATGCAAGCATATATTCAACCACACCAATCATAAAACACAAATAATTAATGCAAAAAGTGTTCGGTGTGCAGGAGCACCCCAACTAGCATTCAATGCAAACTAATTAAACACTATAAGCAAATCACACAATCCTAGGGCAACCACAAGCCCCAAAATACCTTCGATGCCACGCGACATCTCTTAGCCAAAGAGCAGACATTGTCCTTGTCTGGTGGTTCTCTCCAGCTGAAGGCTGGATGTCAGGGAATGATGGAGTCAGTCTAGGGATAGACAGCAAGGCAGCCAGTCTTACTGATGTCCTTGGAGCAAAAAGTCTTCAATGTGGCAGGACCAGTAATTTAAATAGAGTTCCAAGTTGGTGATTGGTCACATCTAGTGAAAGTCAGTTTCCATTGGTTAGTCCAGTGAGATAATATAATTGCAGCTGAGCATATTGTTTGTGCATGTCCATGGAGCTGTGCCCCTATCAACTGTAACCAGTCATTGCTAAGCATGCCTATGGCTAATGCCCCTTATAGCTCTTTATCAATTGCAAGCAGACATTACTAAGCAGTTCAATGGCTGCTGTTCCTATGGTTAGCAACTTAGTGAGTCCCCGCATGTCCCAGAATGTCTATGGCAGTTGCTCCTTACAGACCCCATCTCAAAATAAAACATAAAAAGGCCTGGGGATGTGGCTCAGTGGCTAAGCGCCCCTGAGTTCAATCCCTGGTACAAAAAAAAAAAAAAAAAAAAAGAATTTTAGTAAAATGAAAAGTCAGAATAGAATTGAAAAAAAAAAGTTGACATTAAGCAAACATTTTTTTTCAATTATTTTTTATGTTTTTTAAGCTTCATGGGAAATTTTTAGGCAGTACTTATTAGTTATTTTGATTTTGTCAAGGCTTTTAGCATTTCAATTGACTTCCAAAGTCTTAATTCCTACAACTGTTTGGTTTTAATTCTCTATTTAAAAGCTTTCAGTGCTTGCCATTAGTTCTTTGGTCACAACTTCTTTACTCCTGAGTTGAATATTTAGATTTATGTCTTAGTTGTCCAGGTAGGGCTCACGCAGTCCTTCGAATGCATGCATACAAGGAAGGAGACTCGTGCCTTAATATTCAAAGAATAAATTGTGTTTTAGTCAGCTTTTTTTTGTGGCTGTGACTAAAAAAATCTGATAACAACATAGAGGAGGAAAAGTTTATTTCCGTCTCACAGTTTCAGAGGTGTCAGTTCATAGATGGCCAGCTCCACTCTTCAGTGCTCTAGGTGAGGATGAACATAGTGGCGGAGGAGTGTGGCAGAGGGAAGCAGCTCCAGACATCACACTAGGAAGCAGAGAGAGACTAAGCTCAACTCCCCAGGGGCAAAATATAAATCCCCAAAGCACACCCCCAGGGACCTGCCTCCTGCAGCCACACCCTACCTGCCTACAGTTGCCATCCAGTTAATCCCTAATGCATTGGATGGTGGCTGGTTGAATCAATGCTCCTTCTCATGTATATATTTCTGTTACTAATTTTCATTTGCTTTTATTATATTTTTCTCCTGTTCAGTGTGGTAATAAACATATACAACAAGCATTGAAACACATACACTGGACATTTTCCTCTTTTCTTCCTTGCTTCCCTTCTTTTATTCTTCTTTCCAGAACTCCTGTCTTTCCTTCCCTTCTTTCCCTCTCTCCCTCCTTCTTACCCTTCAACAGCCTCATTTTACCCCAGTCTCTTTCTGGCTTTCTCATGTGAAAACTGGAACTTTCAGGCTTACAAAGGGAAGGAAGTAGGTGGAGGTCACCCTGTTAAAGTGGGGAAGGTTGCTAAGGAACCTGGTTTCCTCCTACAGGTTTCCCCATTAGACTGGGGCATCTCAAACACAGCACAGTCGGTCTTTTCTTCAGCCTGTGGAGCTCCTGTGTGAGAAGATGGCTTCAGGCTTCGTGCCCTCACCGAACAGAAAGCTGGGGAGAAAAGTAGAGAAGATAGTTTCCCAGTCGGGTGGCCCCAAACACAAGTGTGCAGGACAGAATTAGTGTCATTCCTAACTTGGCACTTTCCAGGCTAACCACATAGATCTAATTATAGAATCTGGCTCTCTGTAGCTTGAAATCATAGTGGGTAGATAGCCCAAAATTACCCATCTGCTATTGAGAATGCACAAGGACTTGTTAGTGAAAATTGTGCTGTTTCACAGTTTTTGCCAAATGATTTTGAGTTAAAATTCCAGTAAGCCAGAAGCTTCTGGATAGTGTATGAATCACAAGAAAGAAAGCCAATATTTTTATGCTCTTAACCTGCCTCTTCAATGACCTACCTTGGCAACCATACTTCCCAGAGCTTGTATTAGAGTTCTTACTCAACTGATTGTGGGTTTTGTTGTTGTTGTTGTTGTTGTTTTGGGGGGGTTAGATTGTGTATGGATGCTGAACTCATTGGCAATAGTGATTTCATCATCTTGATTTCAGTGCATCCTACAACCATAAGGAATTGGCAGGACCAACAAAGGTCCTTCCCAGCAGTTCTCCACCACAGGACATGCTGGTGAATAAGAATAGATAATGGTCAGGCAATGCACCAAAAAATCAAGGTCTTATTCAAAGGTAGAGACTACACCTGTAGACTAACCTGTAGAAATAATAGTGGGCAAGGTCAAGGTCTATTTCAAATATAAAAGACCCTGAGGCTCAGCTGTGGGGACACCCCAGCCAATTCTTTTGTGTTGGGGATGGTGAGAGGGGATGGCCACTTGGATGGACTGAAGGTTGGAGGAGTGAATCTAAAAGGGAATTACAGGAAGGATGAAGACTCAGGATAAAGGACACAGCTAATACTTTTTCAAAACCTGTTTAACGCAGATTTTGATCAATGCTAATATCCCAGACTCATAAAGCCCCTAAGCTAGCGCACAAAAGTAGGTTTTTCTGCTGTCTGGCCCCCTTCCACATCTTGGGAGTTCTCTTTCTCCTCACTTTAATAAATGCTGCTCCATTTACTCTCTTTTCCATTATTGTCCATCGATTTTATTCTTCAAATTTGCGAGACAAGAACCCAGAAGGAAATTGGTGAATTGGGGAATCTAGTTTCATCTCAAAACTCTGTGTTGGGTGCAGAGCAGGCTGAACTGTGTTGTCTGCAGGGCAGGCTGAACAGATGTTGGCTGCAAGATAGCCCACGCACTCAAACCCCCCTCTATCTGGTCCTTTATCACCTGTTTGCCTCAAGTCTGAACATTCAACCCCGCTCAAGGCTGAACACTTAACCCCCCCTTGGGCCATCAAGGCAGCTTGCAGACCCAGAGGCCCCATTAGATTTGGGCTGTAAAAACTCCCTCCTGCCAGGCCCCCCTCTCTCTTGCTCTCTCTCTCTTGCTCTTTATCTTTCTTACGCGCGCTCTCTGTCTCTCTCTTGCTCTTGCTCTCTCCCTGTTCATCTCTTTTCTCTCTCTCTCTTTTTCCTTCTTTCCTTTCTCTTTGTTGCACTGCTGCAATAAAGATCTTTTGGTTGCTCCGAGTGTTGTGGTCACTTTCCTTTCACTCTGGTTTCACTGATAGTGTATATTTGGAGAAACCTTCACATGCAGAGTGTCCAAGGTAGAGATTTAGGATTTGCTCAGTCCCTAAACATAATTCTAAGGTTTGTTTGCTTCCGACCCAGCTTTTGGTAAATATATTTTACTTTTTCTTTATTTAAAAATTTTCACAGGGGCTGGGGTTGTGGCTCAAGTGGTAGAGTGCTCGCCTAGCACATGTGAGGCACTGGGTTCGATCCTCAGCACCACACAAAAATAAAATAAAGATATTGTATCCACCTAAAACTAAAAAAAAATATTAAAAAATTTTGCACATATTAATGGATACCATGTGATAGTGTGTGTGTGTGTGTGTGTGTGTGTGTGTGTGTGTATATATATATATATATATATATATATATATATATATATATTTTGCAATGTTTATTTCAGATTAAACATAATCTGTCTCCTTAAACTTTTATCATTTCTTTATGGTGAAAATATTCAGAATCCTATCTTCTAGCTTTTTGAAATATGCAATATGTGATGGTTGTTTATAGTCATCATACTGTGCAACAGCACTCCAATACTTCTTTACTACTATCTAAATGTACCCATTGATAACTTTTCTCTTTTCCTCCCTTTTCACTACTCTCCCTGGCTTCTGGTGTTACTGGTGATGAGAATCCATCAGGATCTGGTCTCATTCCCCAGGAATGTTGAAGATTGAACATCCGAGAAACACCAAGGCAAGCTTGGAAAGCAAGTTTTATTTAAAGGACAACAGATCAGAGATAGACTTCTCCACAGAGAAGGGGCCTCAGAGCTGGTGTCTGATGAAGTGGGAGTGTCCTGCCCCTTTTATACATTTTAGATTTCCTTTGTTCTCATGCCTCCTCGTCCACTTATCTTGCCTACTGACTAGTGACCAAAAGGTGGAGTGATCCAAGGGTGAGAATGAATAGGCAGGAAGGGAATAGCTCAGGGGGCATTCATTAACCTGCTTGCTGGGAGGAACAATTTCCTGGAAACAGGTAACCTTGGCAACAGGTTGAGGAGGTAGGGGGAGGGCTCTGGAGGTATTAGCATTTTTATTTCCTTTGGAAACAGCCCCTATCTTTATGAACTAACTCTATCAGTTATTACTTACACTGACTGTCCTTTTGCCCCCTCCCCATACACACACACACTGGTAGTTATTCCACTCTTTTTTAAAAAATATTTATTTTATTTAGGTGGACACAATTATCTTTATTTATTTTTATGTGGTGCTGAGAGATTGAACCCAGTGCCTCGCACATGCCAGGGCAGTGTGCTACCACCTGAGCCACATCCCCAGCCCCCCATTCCACTCTTAACTTCTATGAGATCGACTTTTGTAGATTCTACATATGACTGAGATCATGTGGTACTTGTGTTTCCATGCCTATTTCATTTAATATGATGATCTCCATTTCTGTCCATGTTGTTGCAAGTGATGGGATTTTATCTTTTCTTATGGTTGAATAGTATTCCATTTTGTATATGTACCACAATTTCTCAATCATTCGTTCACTGATGGACACTTAGGTTAACTTCATATCTTAGCCATTATGAATAATGCTGCAATGAATATGAAAGGGCAGATGCCTCTTTGAAATATTGATTTTGTTTCCTATGGATATATACCCCAGAGTGGGATAACTGCATTATAAGGTAGTTCCATTTTTAATTTTTTGAGTACTCTTCACATTGTTTTTCCTAATGGCTGCATTAACTTACATTTGTACCAACAGCATATAAGGGTTCCCTTTTCTTCAT